AGGGGAACAGCAAACCTTGCCAGGTAACATCTCATTTCAGAGCCGTTACAGGTACCCCATCTGTAGAGATGCACACCAAAGGAGCAGCTACACACTGACAAGTGAGCAAGGGTGGGATCTAGGAGGGTTGCCTCAAAAGTCATCCCCACCTCCCCCTTCCCCTTCACATGCATCCTGGGCGCCATCTTGATAATGCAGGCTCCTATAACCACAGCTACTAGGGGGCTTGATCATCTTCCCTGAGTGATGATGCAACTTCCAGAAATACCTGGAAGTTACATCATCACTCCAGAGGCAATGGTCTAGCACTTGCCCCAAACTTTACGGAAACCATAGAGTTTGGTGCAAATGCTAGAGTGTTGCCCCCAAGGCAATGACATTGCTTCTGGGTCACACCAGAAATTACAGCATTGCACAGGGACAACAATCACAGCCCCTGTTTTGCCAGCCAGTTTCCTCTTGCTGTCGAGCTGAGTAGTGGCGTGTGGCTGCAGCAGTCAGCAGAAGATCGTCTGTCAGAAGTGGTCATATAATAAGCCTATGGCAACCCAAGGCATGTGATGGGACATACTCCCAGGAAAATGTACCTGGGAGCACTAGGTATGATGCCAGAGAGTGTGTGGCAGGGATGTTCCCCCTAGGTGGGGGATGGGACAAGGGTGAATGGCAGCTAGGGTTGCCAGGCTGAGCCTGGAAAATGGGAAGGAGGGCTGGGGCAGGGACATGGGGGGAGGTGCGACATTGCTGACATTACTACATCACTTCCAACTACAATGGTAGCTCTAGGAATTGCCAGCAATTCTATTGTTTTACCATAGCATTTTCAGCAATTCCTAGAGCTACCCTTTTGTCACTTCTGGATTGTATCATGAAGTGACGTAGTTATGTCAGCTATAGCAGGAGGCCTGGCAGGCCTACTGGCAGCTGCTCCACCAAGCTTAGTAGTACTGCTGGCCAAGCAAACCTTGGCACCCATTCACTTGCAGGATCAGTGCCTTATGCAGGTTTCCAGGTCTCACAGTCCCCCACAGCACTGCTGGCATCTAAGAAGCCATGCAAGTTGGCAGTGTGGGCTCTCAAGGGGCACAAGGGTGCAGCACAAAGAGATTGTGCAGGGGTGTCTCAACCAACATGATGGATGTCTGAGCAGCCCATCAGCCAGGCCATCCTGTTCCTCCTTTAGGAGTTTGAGGGAGAGAATTTTTAGCTCTGAAATTTTTGCCTGCCTTTGGCCTCTCTCCATGTGGTGATGAAACCAGGAGCCTTGGGCATGCTATCCTAGTGCCTTTCTGCTATGCGATGCCATTCTTTGCAGTGTTCTAGCTTGGTCCCATATGGGGGGTGGGGGGGCATTAGAGCTGCAGTGGGGTTCCTGATGGCATGCCTCTTCTGTATCTGCCTTCTTGTCCCAGTGGATAAGAAGCTGATCTTGAGTGCAGGGGCTATGGGCCTGAGATGGATCTCTGCCTGCTTTCTCTCAGGGGGAGGGTTTGTGTGGCTTGGAGCAGGGACACTTGTGCATGGGTAGCACTTTGTTCCCAGTCAGACCCTTGCCAGTGTGATAGGCGGACATCCTGCCTGCCATGTGGGCACCCTTGCTCTGTGGGCTATGTGCCTCTTGGTCACTGCCATTGTTTGTAAAACTATGAAGTAAGCAATAGAGAAGACCAGAGAATCCAAAAAGTAAAATGGCGCTTCACTGCGTCCTCTGCTTTCTAAAATTACCATCCTCAGTGCTAACCCCCATCCCCACCACATCATTGGCTGAAGGTGGTCATGTGGCAATTCTCTGTTTAGTGATTTGCCAAGGAAGTATTCACCATTTTGCAGCTGGATCATAAGAGTGCAAAACAAAACATCTACCAATCATGTGCTAACTCATTTTCAACCTCATTAATATTGCATTTATAAAGCAGTAATATAATAATTATGTTCACTGTAAAAAGGGGAGGGGGGATCATAGGAAAATGCAACAACCTCTGCAACACGAAATTCTTTGTTGTTCAGTAAGGCTCTCCTTAGCATTGGATCACTAATTCAGCTAGAGAAAATAAGAAAAAGTAACATTTTATGGGGTGGATTCTCTGTTGCTGAATAAGGCTCCTCTTAGCAAAGGATCGCTAGTACAACTGAGAAAATTTTAAAATGGAGCATAGTATGGGGTGGATTCTCTGTTGCTCAGTAAGGCTACCCTTAGCGATTGATTGCCAATACTAATAAGAGGGGTTTTTTTAATTGTGGGGAGACAGTGAAATACACAGGTGCATTCAGGAACCTGACAGAAATGCTTAGATTTGCTGCTGAATACACCACAAACACCTGAAAAGGTAACATTTGCAAATAATGGGGACCTCCAGTCACTCTCCAGTTGCTCTCTCCTTATAGCATTCTATTGCTGATTTTGAGTTCAGTGGCACCTTTAAGATCAACAAAGTTTTCAAGGTATAAGCTTTCGTGTGCATGCACACCTCTTCATGTTCTCAAACTATGTTCTGCTGCTTCAGACCAACACGGCTACCCACCTAAATTTATTGCTGTTTCTGAGATTAAAAACAACAACAACAACAAAAAGGCAAAATAAAGATTTTTGTAAAAGATAGCAAGGAAGGTAGGGGGAATGTGGGAAAGAAGTGCACGTATATGCAGCTTGGGGAAGGTTTATTGGGTGTACATGGGCAGCTATGGGTGGTGTGTGAAAAAACTTGAAGACAGAATTATGCTCGATGACTGATGCCAACAGAATCAGCATGAAAAAACCCAGCATATAAGCACTTGCAAAAAAAAATTAGGAAAAACCAGAAAAGTAATCAAAGCAACCACCAAAGGGAAGAAAACGTGTGCAGAAAACAAACACCCCTCCCAAACCAGTGCAGTTGGAGAAAAGCACTGAAAAAACCCACATGTGCATAAAAGGCCTCTGTTGGGGTTGTGCTGTCACTGGTCTCTTCCTCCCTGTCCTCTGGTGCTCTGTGTGTGTGGGTGGAATGACCACATCAGCATTTGGTGGTTTGCTGCACCTGTTGCCTATTGGTGAGTGTTACTGAGATTGCTATGGACTGTGGTGCTCCCACTACATGGTCTGCACCTTGCAGAGCAGTGCATATCCCCCTGAAAAAAATGTCTATAGGAATCAGAGCACTATGGCTGCTGTTACATTGGCAGCTGGCTGCCAAACCAGCCCTCAGAATTGGGCTGACAACCAATGCTTGGGAAATCACTTGAAATACCTTGCACAATGAGGCTCTTCATAGACTGAAGCCATCTCCTTATAGGCTAAGGGTGCAGTGTTATAAACAATGGACACTGTCCAGCCATACTTCAGCACTATGTAATCCTACTGATTTCAAAACACCTTGCTTAACTTTCCCATTGTAATAAATGGGATTTGAAAATGCTTCATTTTGATGCATGCCTAGCATTTATAACAGTCTATTTAGTCCATAAAGTGGTGCTCTCCTTTAACCAGTTTTAATCTGATGGTTCACAGAATAATGCTTTCAATCCTAGCTGGAATATAGGTCATACCCACCATTCAAAGGGTGTCCATTTGCACACTCTTTGTGCAGTAGAAAATTCTGGAATTCCTGTTGCGGTGGGGAAAAGAGAACTCTGGATGAATGTAGTTTTCTGGAGACTGTGGTCTTGCTATGAAACAGTATAATATCAATTAAAATCAAATCAGAGGCATCTTGTATTTCGGGGAAATCTCTAATACATAGGCTCTAAACCACATCACCCAGAAGGAAGTTCCATTGCTTTCAGTAAGATTTACAGCTGGTTATGCTTATATCAGATGCATATTCCAGACCCATGTTATGAATGCAGCACATTCATACCTATTTTAAGCTTGTGTATGCTGTGGGGGAAAACCTTGTGGCAAGCTCTAAGTGCCCTTGGAGCATACCCACTCTGTGTGTGTGTGTGTGTGTGTGTATCTATATCTTCCAAAGATGCTAGCTTTAGAAGATACACCCAACAAATGTGGGCCATGTATCTCTCAAAATGGTGGTGTGTTCAGCCGCTCTTATTCTTGCAGCATGTGTTTAGGATGATGTTGCTGGCCTCTCTCTGTCTCTTACCAGTTTGACTCACTTAGCAGATGCCACTAGCCTACACTTGATTTGTTCAAGGAATGCTGCAAGGTCTACAAAATTGTTTCCTCTGAGCTATTCTTCAACCTTGCTTGGATTATTTCAGGGAGTGGAGTGCCAGAATCATGCTGAAGGCTGTTCTTGCATGCTGAATCATATTTGAGTGCCCACACATCCCTGACCCATGAACCATGATTGTACTCATGCATAGAAACAAGCACCCTCCTGAGTCCCGACAAGCACTCTCCTGTCCCGCCATTCCACATTCAGCCTGAAAAGCTTGTTGCTATACAGGCAGCAAGCCCACTAGATTTGTCACACTGGGAACAGCAGCAGAACTGCAGACAGAAGAGCTTAAAAAGCATCTCCATTATGCCAGGGGATACACTGTGATTTGTAAAAGCCCATCTTTGAAACTTTCCCAGTAAAGAGAGCGGCAATGTACTCTCCACACTAGACACCCCCCCCACTCTCACAATACCTACACTATAGAGATCACCCGTTCCAAGGCATACGTGATTCATCCAGGCAGCCCCAGCAGTTGCCAGCGAGGAGCCTCACAGAAAAACTTCTTAGCTGGAAAGATGGGACACTCAAGGGGAGAGGGGCAAAACCAAAGCTCAGAAGAGGATCGGTCTATGATGGATCAAAGTTCTGAAGGCGGAAATTGGGGGACCTTGTTTCCTGAGCCTTTATAAGGATTGTCACAGCTACCCCCAGCCAGGCAGTGAAGCAGTTAAGATTCCCCAGTTAGTTGCAGTTCCCACCTCCTGGGCTGGGCTAGGAGGCCTTATAAAGCTCATAGCCAGCAGTAGGAAGCAGTGGGCTTAGGTGGGGGGAGCAGCAGTGAGCGTGAAGACCTGTCCTGCTGTCACAGCACTCCTCCTTTTGCTGTTCTCCTGTCCCATCATGTGGGAGGCTCGCTCGTCCTCCTTTTGGAGGGCTATGTTTGCTGAGTTCTTTGGCACCATGTTCTATGTGTTTTTTGGCCTGGGGGCTTCACTTCGCTGGGTCGTTGGCCCCCTTAACGTTCTACAGGTGGCACTGGCCTTTGGTTTGGTGGCCGCCACCATGGTGCAGTCTCTAGGCCACGTGAGCGGTGCCCACATCAATCCAGCGGTCACCATGGCCTTCTTGCTGGGCTCCCAGCTCTCCCTCTTCCGTGCTGTCTTCTACATGGTGGCCCAGGTGCTGGGAGGAGTGGCTGGGGCAGCCGTGCTTTATGGAGTCACGCCACCAGCGCTGCGGGGTAACCTGGCACTCAACACGGTAACTGGATGCAGAGCTGTATGGGAGTGCGTTTGAGGAGGGGGGCATTCTCCGTATCTGAAATCTGAGGAAGTAACATTGCTATATGCAGGAGGCCTGTGTGATGGTTTTAAAATACAGATGAGAGACGATCTCATGGGTGCCAAAAGAGGGAGAATGATATTTAGCTTTCTGTGCCTAGATTAGCCTTTAATCCCAAGATCTAGAAAGGAAGCATTTTTAGTTTAGGGCCTGGAAGCAGAACCTAAAAACTTTAATAGATTTTTTTTGTATTAGCTTTCCCCGTGTATTGGTTTATCGACGTGGCTGGTTTCATAGCTGGGTGGGAGCCAGATAACAGAAAATGTTATATGTACATACATCTGAGTATGTAAACTGGAAAGGGGGGGGCGAGAGAGAGAGCACGAGGGAGCACAAGTAAGGATTTTGTAATTTTATAATTATGGCACTTTGAGAGTGTGCAGCAGGGTGGTGAGGGAGAGAAAGAGAAAGACACCCTCGCGGTCAAGTTATTTGTTTGTTTGTTTAATAGATCTATATCCTGCCCTCTCCCGAATATGCCTGAGACAGCAGTTTCATTTATAGTCTTTTGTGTGAATTGCAGATGTAGAGCCATGTTCATCTGTCGCAGCAAAAATAAACAGGAATCTTATACTGCCTTAAGAATACCAAATTATCATTCTAGCGTAAGGCTTAGTGGACTGGCACCCACGGTCAGATGCAGGCTGACAAAGTGGGCTCTGAGTCCATGAGAGCATATGCTAGAATAAAAACTGGTTAGTTTTTCAAGGTGCCATAAGAATCTTGCATGGAGGGACTGTGGTAGCCATTCAGTAACTGTTAATCGGATTCACTGACAGCTGAGCAGTGTAAATCAGCTCCGATAATGTAAATCGATCCTCTTGATGTCTGGAAGAAAGACGTCTTTTGTCCTTGCTGCCAGTCCCAGAGCGCTGGGATCAGACCTCGGGTGTCAGCTTTGATCTATTAAGAACATTTTCGTCCATCAGGCTATAATGTGATGTTGAAGCTCCTTCCTGCTGTAAATGAGAATGTTGCTAATGTCACATGGATGATGGAAGAGCAGTCTTGCAGTCAACAGAGGTTTTGTACTTATATTATATATTAATTTATAAAAAGTCCACATTTACCTGTCTGGGTACATTTTAATATTTGCTTAAGAGAAAAAAAATATGTTTGAATCCTTGTGTATGTTATAGAGGGAAACACACTGCCTGCTGGAAAAGATAAGATGTTCTGTCAGTGCCCACTGATGGGAATTATTGCTCAGAAGCCTGTCACAATTTCAGTGCAGTTCTCTTCTGGAGGCATTGGTGTTATCTGGTCTTAAACTTCCACCAGAGACTATGTGCATCTTTATGGCCATTCTGTGGGCATCTTTATGTAATGTGGTTCTTTTGTGCATTACAGTGCTTCATATCTTCAGTTTAGGAAGTGCTCAATTCAGGTATGTTGCATTGAAGTTAAGGGTAACTGAGCCATAGATATAAAGAATGGGTAGCTATGTCTTTTGAATAAAACTTTATATGTGTGATCAGGCTGAAGGTTTAAAATCAGGATGTAAATGCATGGAGTACAGAGAATAGCAAAGAAGATAGTTAACTGCTAAGGGAGTATAGGATTTAAAAAGGACCATGGACAGAGTACGGGTGCCATGAAATGTAACATTAGATCTACAGTCACTGCATTCCCACCCCCACCCCCCCACCCACGGGGTGAACCCAACATCCTTATGCTACATAAAAGATAAAGAGTAATTCCCAAATAGTTCTAAGCAAATGGCCCACTTTTAAAAAATGTGCTTAAAGTTTCACACCAATTGTTTTTCGGTTATTTCTCCCTCACAAAGCACACTCCATACTAATAAAATCTGAAGAACCGGATTGGAGTAGGGATGTGCAAACCTCCACCGGTTCAGCTTATGTCCTGTTCACAGGTTGTAAACAAGGAGCCAATTTTTTGCTTAAAATAAAAAATGAAATTTGGAACTTCAGAGATTATGATAACAGATCACCAGAATGTTAGTTTGTAATGGCACAAAAGCAATTATATAAATCAGTCATCAATAAATGCTATAAAAAATTCCAGTGTCCATCTAAGCAGATTTTTCTCAATGGCCACCAATCTGTTGGGATTGGCAGTGTTAATAGTGCATGTTCAATTCTGAAAAAACTGATGCAACCCTGTTCGGCAGGAGTTTGCGGAGGTTTGACATGAACCAACCAGACAGGGTGATTGGCTCATGAATTATTGAAACCTTCAAACATGGTAAGTTTTGAACATATTTGATGTGAAATGTGGCATCCCTGGTCTGGGGATGGACTGGAGGGTGAAGATGTTTCTTGAGGACACCCAGGTACCAGCCTGTCAGCACTGTGCACAACCAAGCTTCTATTGCAAACATGCAGTAACATTTTTCACAGAAGAGATGGTAGTTTATCTGATGAAAAGGCACAGTGAGTGTTCTTCCACAGCGTTTCCTCCACTCAAATAATATTTCATTTGTATGCCCTTTAAAGCAAGGAAGAAAATCATGTGGGTGAGGTAGGCCTGAAGTCATGTCTGAGGTCTGAATGGGTGAACAGCAGTGGCCTATCAGAATACGAGGTCTAGTCACAGGGAAAAGGAAAGGCAGTAAGTAGAAGACCATGTTGGACAGATGTAGGTGGGGGTTCTTTTCTGGGAAAGGTGACTAGAACAGCATTGCAAGCGGAAAGGATGACAAAGGTTGCTTGCTTCCATATGGGGGTTTTGTTCCACATTTCCTCTCCTCCCCCCCAAAACTGAAGCAGTTCTTTTTGGGATTTCTGTGTGACATCCTTCCAAGTTTTCCCCGGCTTTGCTGTGTTGTTGTTTTTTTTCAAACATGCTTTGGTATGATCTTTCCAGAAAGACTGTGTCAAAAACGAGTCCAGGAAATTCATACCCTACAGTTTGGTGTGTGGACAGGAAGATACGACTTTCATCCTCTCCCACATCCAGCCTCATTTCCCCTGGAACCTGCCGTCACTCCACCAGCAGCAAGTTTTTATTGGCTATTTTGTAATCAGCAGATGCATCACCATTGCATCATTATTTTAGAACTATACAGCTACCATCTTTTTAAAAAATGAGCAACAAGCGGGGGAAATGGCAGGTATGAGGGGATATACTATGAGGAATACCTCCATTGTTCTGGTGCAATTGCAAATATCTCTGCTTTCACAGCGGCAACGAGAGCAGAACAGGGAGTCATTCCCATGCGGAAGCAACCAAAGACTTGAAAAATAATCCACAGAATTTAGTGGTAAGGGTGAGGAAGTGTAGCATTGCCAAAGTTCAGCTAGACAGGCTAGAGAGTATCTTGCAGCACGCACCTTTGGTCATCTGTAGATGATTATTCCAGATACTTCCTTCTGTGATGTCTCAGCTTTATGATCTTTCTTTCGGTGGATGGTTGAATTAGATGGACTTTTGGTTCCTACCAGCCTGATTATTCTTCTAAAATGCAAAAAGCCAAGGCTAGCCCTTACAGAAGAAGGGCATGTCATTAACTAGTGATATACACTATCGCATGATTTTTAACGGAGCTCTGAAGTTGAGAGGCAGTGGCATGGCTAGGGTTGCCTGGTCCCTCTGGCCACCAGCAGGGGATGGGGAAGTGGGGTTGCCAGATAGGAAACTTCTGGAGATTTGGGGGTGGAGCCTGGGGAAGAACAGGGGTGTCAGTGGGCTCCAATGCCACAGGGACCACCCTCCAAAGCATCCATTTTCTCCAAGGGAACTGATCTCTGTAGTCTGGAGATGAGCTATAATTCCAGGGGATTCACTGGTCCCACCTGTAGGCTGGCATCCCTACATTTCTACCTTAGGCTGGAGGAGACTGTTCAACTTAAATGACTCTTCCATTGGAGCAAGGTCCACTCAAGTCCTTGGAGGAAGGCTCCTTAGGTGGGAGGAATGCTTCAAACTTTGTTTAGTGGGTAGTAGGATACAGACTGCAGCCAGAATTAAGTGTAGTGAGCTTGAGCTTGGGACCTGTGGATTGTCCGGTGGGGATTCAACTGCCACCGAATTCTGGCCAAAGGAAGGAACTACCAATGGCAAGAGGGCAGGGCCGTTAAAGTGATACTCCTTGCCTCTACATAGGTTTCCAAGATCGGAGGTCTGAGCATCTCTGAGACTCTTTTGCTGCTGGTTACAGGCATCTGGCTTCTTTGTTGTCTTTCCAGCTGTTTCCCTTTTACTTTGCTTAATCTCTGCCTTGTCCTAGCCAGCCTCTGTCTTGACTGAAACTGGATCTGGAAAATAGTGATGTTTTCATAGTGACCAATGAAAATGTTTTGCCTGTAAATCTTCCCAGCTAATTTTTTAACAGCACCAGAAACATCTGCTGGGCATGGAATGGGTACAATTAGAATCAAATTCAGCCTGGGAAAATGAACAAGATGGGCCTCTGGGCACAACTTCAGTAATTATGCAATTATAGTTTGACTGGTCATATCAGCAAGGGACAAAATCAAGTATTGACTTATGTCGTTCCCTTATAGCTCTCTCTCTTTCTGTGTGTCTCCCTGGCTGCAGATACACCCCAGTGTAAATGTAGGCCAAGCTACCGTCGTGGAGATCTTCCTGACCCTGCAGTTTGTCCTCTGCATCTTTGCCACCTACGATGAGAGACGCAATGGGCGCATGGGGTCTGTCGCGATGGCTGTGGGATTCTCCCTCACTCTTGGACACCTCTTTGGGGTAATGATGCGTCAGAAATCTGAATGCAGTCATGGCCAGCTGTAATCTATTTGCACAGTGAGGCATGGCTAAACTAACAGCCAGCTTGCCTCTCAGATCAGCAAGTCTGCAGTCACATCCTCACCACACCTTCCACCTATTTGTGACAGGACAAATCACTCAGCTGCCTTGTGTCTTATCTGTAATATACCTTGCTGTTGAGATCCCCAGGCAGGTATTTAGAACCTGTACAGCACAATGTGTACTGCAAACACTATTCAACTTGCCCCATCAAAGTGGCCATGTCCGGGAATAAAAATATGGTGTGACACTCATGGAGTGACTATAAGTTGACAACTAAAGTTTCTACAACCTTCTATGATTTGCAGGTGGTATGTCAGCCTGTGGCAGGATTCTGCAAATACTAGGTTTCTAAATATAAATTCCACCCAGCCTTTAGTTAGGGGTGCAGTTGAACGGTTCTACTATCCTGTAAAGGAAAGGGTGCTTTCTCCCCCAGACTTACCCTCTCTCTGGCATGCAGCCCTCTTAGGAAGTTGTGGGCACAACGGTGCCTTTTGCCCTCTCTTGTCTCAGAAAGCATGCCACCCCTCACACCTAGTGCTGCCCAAGCCAGAAAATTTTGATTGGTGGGGCAGGGGAGTTGGGAGCGGGGAATTTAATTAGATTACTAATTGGATTAGATTAGTTCCCTGGGAAGGTCCCTTCCCTCCCAGAGCCGCCCTGCAGCTTCTGGTCAGCTGTTAGAGGGGAGTTAAGCTTACCAGAAAGGGCAGGGCCACTTCTCTTTCCTTCCCCAGCCTCCCCTCTGCTGCAGGGGGGGGGCAGAGAAGGGGACAGAGAGAGAGAGAGAGGGCATTCTTTGTCTCTCTTTCCTTCCCAAGCCCCCCATGGGGGCAGGGAGGCTGGGGAAGGAAAGGGAAGCCACCCTGCTGCTTCTGGTGGGTAGTGGGTAGTGAAAATGACCAGAAGTGGCAAGGCAGCTTCCCTGGAAGAGCTGGTGTGGCCTCAGAGGGGCAGGGGTAAGGAGCGTGGTGCAGTGGGGGTCTGGCAGGGCTCCCATCCACAAGAACTCTTGGGTATTAGCCAATCTGGGTGCCAGGTTCCCTGGCTCAAGCCCACCAGAACATGGTCACTCCAATCTGGAGGTGTTAATGCATCAAACAGCTAGCATGTTTTCCCTTTGGGTTGAAAACAACCCTGTCTATTCAGTGAAGCCTGTCTTTCCCATACTCTGCCATTCTGTGAGATGCCATCTCAGCCTTTCATCTCCATAACTGTCACAGAATATCTTGCCCATCTGCTGTTCATCCATCTCAAGGAAAAAACTGGACTGACTTGGGACCCAGAGGCATGGGGGTGCCTGGAATACAGGGAGAAACCCTCTCTCCATCCTGACCCTACTCTCTTGCAGATATATTACACAGGAGCTGGCATGAATCCTGCCCGATCTTTCGCCCCTGCTGTTATCACCCGCAATTTCACCAACCACTGGGTAAGCAAGAGGTTTATGGGTGTGTGTGTGTCTTAAGATAATAGGTTTAAATGATCAGATGTGTAATGGTTGTGAAGATGACTTGGACGTGACTTAATCTGACTCAGTTTCCACCAAGGCCCTATTTCTTAGTGCCACAGAAGCCTCCTTTCCCACAAGAAAACCAGATACCAAGGTCTACCACTGGGGTCCCATTCCTCAGGACAACTGATCTCTAGGTATAATGTTGGGATGGGAAACTGAGGGAAACCAGTGCCTGGATCAGGGGTGGTAATTAAGCACTCTGTGATGCTGTGTGACAGATGGCAATAGCAAAAGATTCCCATGGCAGCAAGTTCTAGCGATATAAACATGGAATCACAGATTTTTGGAAAATGTGCTACTGTAACAATTCACTTCCTGAATTTTCTTGTCCAGACAGGAAAATCTAGGAGGTGAATGATTATAACGTAATAGCCAATGTTCTGTGGGATCCAGCCTAACAGGAAAGGAGTAGGCCAAATGAAAAAAATGTTAAACAGAAATGTTGCAACTTAAAAAAGAAATTAAACGAAAAGCTTGAACCTTGTTTTTACCATGTACTAGGTATTTTTTCCCCCTGAGATATGTCTCAGGATATTTAGAATTCCTGGTGCAGTCAATACCTAATCCCGGATAGTATCCTTTATTCTGCTTCTTCATACTGTGCCACCTGTTGTTCATCCAACCAATCTGGCCTCTGAAATAACTTTCTGGGATGAAATTCCTCTGTGTGGAATTTGCATGTGCAAAGAGCAGCACATGAATGTTCTGGAACACGGAGAGACCAACTGAAAAGGGGGGGGGAAGTAACAAGCGAAATGTCATAGGATAGGGACTTCAGTGATTGCCATCTTCAGAACTTCCCTCCCCAGGGAGGTTCGTCTGACTCCGTGCATTGTTATTTTTGTCTGAGGATGAAGACTGTTTGTTTTGTTTGGCATTCCCTCACTAACTCATATTTAGCCCTCCATCTAGTGTTTATGTGTTTAAATTGTTTTAAATATTTTGTACATATCTGTATTTTTAATGCTGTTTTTAATATTTGAAATGTTTTGATGTTTACCACCATGGGGACCCAGTGTCTGGTTAAAAGTCTTTAAATACTTCAAAAAAAATGCTTTAGAAATGCTTTAAATAAATACAAAAACATAGTGCCCAACTACCATGGCACCCATAAATATGTTTCCTGGTGACCACTTCCTTCTTCCTCAAACCAAAGAGCCAGTCCTGTCCTTTGTCCAACTCACTGGAGTAGGAAGTACTTCAGAAGGGCCCAGGGGGCATCACTTTTGTGCCTATGGGGACTCAGGAAACACCTGGCAGCCATTTTGTGGTGGCCCCCCACTCAGTGTTCTCAAACTTTTCAAAGTAACCCCAATAAAGCTGAGAATCCCAAAGATAGCTATTTTTAAGAGAGTTGAAAGAGGTTTGAAAGAAGCTTGTGCAGACACATTTCTTTTGCTGTATTGGTTCACACAATGTTTTTATAAGTATGGCCGAATCTGGAAGCAAGATGGAAAATTGCAAAATTAGTTTAGTGCAAGCAAAAAGTGGATGAGTTTGAACCTCTTAAACTACCTTCAGCCCTCTGGGGGGAAAGTCTGTCTCCAGACATAATTCTGATTTGATACAGAATAAGGAGGAAACAAGCAGATGAGTTCCTAAGATGGGTTCTGCCAATGCAGATCGGTGATGTTAAGCCACAATGTTAACCCATGTTAAAAAAGAAAAACCTCCAGGCAAGTTTTAAAAAATCCACTAGAACTGTAGGGAAGAGAAAAAGTTAAAAATTTCCCATGGTGCATTAATTCTCTTTAGTTGCATGGAGTTTTTTCACACACACACCCAGAAAGTGACCCCCCATTTGAAATAGATTAATACGTTTCTACCACCTCATTTTATTGCACGTTTAGATCTGGCCACAGATTTATTTTGTAGAATGAGGTGTTGCATTGAGCTGGTAGCATTTTGGACTCTACCATTAGACTCCAAGTTTGTAGCAGGGATCATATATTTTGATAGTCCCCACACACACACACACACAAAGTATCCTGCGTGTAATAAACTGTGATCAATCTTTCACCTTGATGTGCTACTTTTAATTTTGCATGCAACAAACTTTTTTTAAAATATGAAGCAGAATTTTAAAATGTTGCTCCCCTATTATTATTCCTCTTTGGGAGTCCCATATATGTCCCAAGAAACATGGGCCAGCTTGGAAAACAGCATGGGGTGGGGTGCTGAAGCCCATTGCCGTGCGCAATCAGACTTATTCTGTCTATACCACCTATTCAGTTTAACTACCACCTGACTCTCTTGGCAGACATTTTCTTTTGTACAGTGCTATTTCTATGTAGCTTTTAAATTTATTTAATGCACTTCTCAACCACTTTTCTAAACTCATTGCTCCCTTTTCCCATGTGTTTCTTCCTCTCTTAGGTGTATTGGGTTGGACCCATAATCGGTGGTGTATTGGGCGGCTTCTTGTATGACTTCATCCTCTTCCCCCGGATGCGTGGCATCTCAGAGCGCCTGTCTATCCTCAAAGGTGACCGGCCAGCTGAAACGAGTGCCGCCCCAGAGCCTCCTGGGGAACCTGTTGAGCTGAAGACGCAAGCACTATAAACAGTGACCCAGGGTGATCAAACCATAGCATACATACCCCTCCTCTGGGGAGAGAGGGGGCAGAAACAACTGGCCCAGTATACAGACTGTTATTGCTCCTGGCCAGTAGGAAGTGATGTCTTAGGAGACACAGATCCGATGGGACAGTTTGTTATCCGGTCTCTCTAACAGACTAACAAACAACACACACACACACACACACACATACAAAAAATCCCCCAGAACAACAAAATGGGGAGAGTGGGTGGGATGGGGAGTGGAGGGGATGTCATTGCCTGATTTTTAAATAATTTATTTTGCGGTGAGAAATTTTGGGAACAGTTTTGTGGGAAAAGATATAGGAGAGCCAGTTCCTCCTGATCTTCCCCTTTGAATTCCTGCAAAATGCCAGAGTTGCCTCTCTGTGTGTAGTTACCCGTGTGTAGTCTTTTTCAATTAGGTATTGGTTCTGTGTGTGTATGTGTGTGTGTGTGGGGGGGGAGGAAGAGTATAGCCCTTTGCAGGCCTCACGTTTCTGGGGCTGGGATTGCAGGTAGCAGGAGATGGCACCACATGCAATCAGCTTAGTATGCACATTCTCCATTTTGTCTGAAGAGGGCAATGTGTATATTTTGCAGCTTCAGAACATGTGAATGTATCCCCCCCCCCCAAAAAAAAAGTCAGTTTTCAGGTAGCATGTACAAATCTGCAACATACCCGCATTGCCCTTTTCAGACAAAAAAGGGGATTGTACAGAATGAGATTATTGTGCATGGTGCCTTAGCCCAGTATGTGCAATCAGAGCACTTGGCTTCACAGCACATGAAAAGGGCTAATAAAAGAAGGCTTCCAACAGTATCCATTCCTACCCCCAGTCAAGTCACCTTCTGCATCTCAGGGTGCAGCTAAATAATACATGTCAAGCAAGCTGAGTCAGGGTCCCCACCCCCCCCACCCCACTCGACCCATCTCACAATCACATGTATTTTCTGGGATTCACCTTAAAAAACTGCTTGGTCACTCAGGCGTGGCTTGGAGGACTGCAGCAGGGGGAGTGGCTTCCACCTTCCCTCACACATTGTTTTCCGTAGTGGATTCAGCTGCAGCCCCCCAGATCTGCTGATGACACATGTATTGTTTAGATGCACCCTCAGTGCTCTGCAGTCTGCTCTTGAGTTGTGTCCTTCCGCTAGCCGTGCTCTCTAGCACAGAGTCGAAAGACCACACCACTCCATCACACGTTATCATTGCCCTCTTTCATCTCCCTCTCTCTCTCTCTGGACCAAATAATCTGGCCCCTCCCTGGGTTTTCAACCTTCAGGTGGTGGCTGGAAGTCTCCTAGGATTACAACTGATCTCCAGGTGAACGAGATCAGTTGACCTGGAGAAAATGGCAGCTTTGGAAGGTGGGCTCTATGGTATCATAGTCCTTCCCCTCCACAAACCCTGCCTTACCCAGGATCCACCCCCCAAATCTCCAGGTATTTCCCAAACTGGAGCTGGCAACCCCACCCCTCCCTCCTCTCTGTGGCTGTCCTTGCCATGCATAGAGGCCTAGCCCCAGAGTTCTGGGGGAGCGCCAGAAGTGAAAAGGAAGTGCATCCTATCCTTTCCCAATTCCAGTCAGCAGCTGCCTTGAAGGTCTTATATACGTATTCCACTTGACTCAGAGTGACAGAAGGAGGGGAGAGAGGGGGGACTGTGTGTATGCTTCCATGTGGGAAAATGAGTGCTTTTGCATGCTTGTTTAGTTATGTGTGTGCACATATACATGAGCATGTGAGAATGAGAAACTGCAAAGCATGACCGGCATCTTGGGGTTCGGTTCACTGGACAATTTAAAACCAGCACACTATTGCCTTCACCCCGCCTCCCCAAAAAGATTGGGGGGGGGTCCTCATTCAGTGTCTGGAGTTGAGAGTCAGCCCTTTAGGGACTGCCTTTTTCACCCTAGGATGGGATGATTAGGATGATAGTGTTCACTGTTCAAGAACTGGAGACTCTTGTGGAGAGACATGGCGTCTGATCAGTAAGAGTAAAGCTTTTGAATCTACTCCCGAATTAATTTTTCTTCTTCTTGGTGCAGTCTCAAACACTAGATACATACAAGTGAAGTATACACAGCCTGTGTAGCACAGGCTATGTGGGGCTTGGCCCAGAACAGGTCTCCACACCAATCATCATAGGAGGATCAGTGTAACCCAGGGATAGATAACATAATAACAGTACATAGCACTGATAGAGCAATCAAGGGCACCTCACAGACAGTATCTCTATAATAGCCTTTGTTGATAGCCTTTGAAGGCAGGGTTGAGAGGCCAAACCAGATGCCTTTGGCATCCGTCTCTTTCTGTTGAGGAAGGAGGCTGAATCCTCAAGTGCAAATCTTGGGTGGGGAAGTAGTGCTGTTAAGCTGGCAGAGGACACATCTGCAGGAGACACATGTTGTTGAGAAATTCTTACCCCTATGCAAGTCCATTGTTACTGGTTTTCTTTTAAGATGCAAAGCATGTGATGGCTTTGCTTAAAACTGGTTCCGAATAGCCTGAGCCAGGAATGGGTTGTGCAAATTTGTAGAGGTCAGCATTTTCTGTTCTTCTCCTGGCCCCTCCCAGATTCCCCCCTCAGTACTTTGGACAACCCCTCAACTGTCACCTTCTTTCTCCCATCTACTAAAAAGGGACTGTTTGGGGATAGCTGTTTCCATCTTGCCTTACTTGTGGTGTTCCTTCTATCTGAAGAGTCAAGTTAGCTATGATGAAGATTTCCTTTAAAAAAGTGAAAGCCTCATCCAAATTAAGACAATCAAAAACAGCACAAACTCTGGCAAAACAAATGTTAAGCTGACCCCCCCCCCCAAAAAAAAAAGAATTGTGAAGAGAACGCTGTTAAAAACTTGAAAACAAGCAATTAAAGCTTCTTTAGATACATCAGACTTGGAGCATTAAGTGACTAAGGATTATGAAAGATAGGTAGGGAGTTTTCGGAGGCCCAGGATTAAGCAGTAGAAAGTCTGGTTCTCGGATCTCCCTTTTGGATGAATAATTGTAGGAGTTTCAAATAAGACAATTTGCATGGAGTTTCTTTCCTCTCTCCCAAGTCTTCTGGCATGTACAGATGACTTGAGGGTGGGATGGAAGACTTTCGTCCTGCCAAGCTTTGGAGTAGGTGAAACAGCACAAGGAACTTGCAGACTGAGAGACCCTCATCCCACTCTTTGGTGCGTGAGCTGGAGGACTCAGGAGCTGAAAGTTCAGCTGGTGACCACAAATAATTATTTGGCTACTGAGTCCTGTCTTTCAAATGTAAAATGATTGATTTTCTACTTCTCTCTATTGAAGTATTGGGAAGAGGCCAGTGTAACACCCATTGCTGAAATGGAATCTAGGAGGAGGCCTAGCAATTACAGGCTAGTGAAGTATACACTGGTATATCGACTAAAATAATTGTTAAGATGAGCATTACAAGCCTTGCTTACTGAGGAAGAATCAGCATTGTTTTTGCAAATGGAAGTCCAAAGGCTCCTCAGTAAAGTTAACAGAAATAGAATAAGTAGCCAGGTCCTTTAAGAGGCTGGTAACTAGTGGAAGAACAGAGAGCAGGGGGTAAATTTAAAAAAAAAATGGGTAGAAGAGGTGAGTGGTGATATAACCAAGTCTGAAGATGCTATCAAATTAGCCAGGATTGTGAACACTCAGACTGAAAATAGCACTGAAAAAATCTCTTCACATTAGATGAATGAGCAAGAAAATGGAAAATGAGATTCAGTATAAGAAGAAACTTATAAACACTGGAGCAAAAATCCCAACTGGGTCAAATTTCCCAGACCACAAATAGTATCTCAACTGCATGTTATGACTAATCAGGAAAGACACCTTGGAATCATGGTGCTCAATTTAAACACTAAGAGATCTTAATCAGAGTTATACCCTTCTAAGCCCATTGGCTTCAGTGGACTTAGAAGAGTGAAACTCTGCTTAGGACTGCACTTTTAGCCTCATACTCTTTACGGGTTAATCTCCTCTTTAGGGTAGCCTACAGTAGAAAAATGTGCAAAAAAAGGCAATCGAATCGATCAAGGGGTTGGAGCACCTTTATGAGAAAAGACTAAAATGTTTGGGGATTTTTGGTTCTAGAAATGACACAAACTGGGGATGGAACATGTTTATGAAAGATAGACATGTTAATGGCTAGTAGCCATGGTAGCTAAATGGAGTCGCCTAGTTCAACAGCAGTGTGTCATTAATTGTCAGTTGTAGAGAAGCAAACAATGGGAGAAAGCCACTGTGAGCTACCCACAAGCATCTGGCCAAAAACTTGAACAGGAGGCTGGGCTAGACAAACCCTTGGGCTGATCCATTTGGCTCTTCATCATGTTACAAGATGGACCTTTCAGTTTCCCCCACATGGCAATTCTTATGCTCTTTATTTACCTCCTAGGGGAAAAGGATGTGCAAGTACAGATCGGTCTGTCTACTAAGCAGACAGTTCCATAAGGAACTGTACTGTATGAGACCCGCAAAGATGGGAAAGAACTATCGAAGTGAGAGCTGATGAATTCAAAAGAGAGGGGGAGCTGGAATCAAGTATTTGTGAGCAGTTGGGGATGCAGATGTTTCCACCTGAAGTGATGTTCAAAGCACGCTTATGTTTTCTGCAGTGTTGACATATCTGGGGTGGATCCTTATTTCAGATATATTGGTGTGAATTGATTTTTGGAGTCTCTCTGCTAAAACTGCTATAGTAAACAAACAAACAAAAAAACAACTGGTGTGAACACATCCATCACCAATCCAGAAAAGTTATGTACAAGCATCAACAGAATGACATCACTGCAATAGCTTCACTCCTTTAGGGTCAATGGAGTTACCACTAGTTTGAATCTGGAGTCCCTTCACAGCAGTAAAAGAGGGCTGCAAGTGGAGCCAATGGAACTGAATCTTGCATGAATATGGCACCACTGGAATGAAACCTGCAGTGTAACAATCCACATTAAGAGCCACTCCTCAGAAAACAATATG